AAAGTTTGTTCACCATAAAATGTTTCAGTTCTAGTTCAGTTCTAGTTCAGTTCTAGTTCAGTTCTAGTTCAGTTCCAGTTCAGTTCTAGTTCAGTTCTAATTCAGTTCTAGTTCAGTTCTAGTTCAGTTCTAGTTCAGGTCTAGTTCAGTTCTAGTTCAGTTCTAGTTCAGTTCTAGTTCACTAGTTTAGTTTTAGTTCAGTTCAAGTTCACTTTTAGTTCAGTCCAAGGCAAATTTTATCAGATTTTTTACTAGAGAAAACTTACAAAGTTTGTTCACCATAAAATGTTTCAGTTCTAGTTCAGTTCTAGTTCAGTTCCAGTTCAGTTCTAGTTCAGTTCTAGTTCAGTTCTAGTTCAGTTCTAGTTCAGTTCTAGTTCAGTTCTAGTTCAGTTCTAGTTCAGTTCTAGTTCAGTTCTAGTTCAGTTCTATTTCAGTTCTAGTTCAGTTCTAGTTCAGTTCTAGTTCAGTTCTAGTTCAGTTCTAGTTCAGTTCTAGTTCAGTTCTACTTCAGTTCTAGTTCAGTTCTAGTTCAGTTCTAGTTCAGTTCTAGTTCAGTTCTAGTTCAGTTCTAGTTCAGTTCTAGTTCAGTTCTAGTTCAGTTCTAGTTCAGTTCTAGTTCAGTTCTAGTTCAGTTCTAGTTCAGTTCTAGTTCAGTTCTAGTTCAGTTCTAGTTCAGTTCTAGTTCAATTCTAGTTCAGTTCTAGTTCAGTTCTAGTTCAGTTCTAGTTCAGTTCTAGTTCAGTTCTAGTTCAGTTCTAGTTCAGTTCTAGTTCAGTTCTAGTTCAGTTCTAGTTCAGTTCTAGTTCAGTTCTAGTTCAGTTCTAGTTCAGTTCTAGTTCAGTTCTAGTTCAGTTCTAGTTCAGTTCTAGTTCAGTTCTAGTTCAGTTCTAGTTCAGTTCTAGTTCAGTTCTAGTTCAGTTCTAGTTCAGTTCTGGTTCAGTTCTAGTTCAGTTCTAGTTCAGTTCAGTTCAGTTCTAGTTCAGTTCTAGTTCAGTTCTAGTTCAGTTCTAGTTCAGTTCTAGTTCAGTTCTAGTTCAGTTCTAGTTCAGTTCTAGTTCAGTTCTAGTTCAGTTCTAGTTCAGTTCTAGTTCAGTTCTAGTTCAGTTCTAGTTCACTAGTTTAGTTTTAGTTCAGTTCAAGTTCACTTTTAGTTCAGTCCAAGGCAAATTTTATCAGATTTTTTACTAGAGAAAACTTACAAAGTTTGTTCACCATAAAATGTTTCAGTTCTAGTTCAGTTCTAGTTCAGTTCCAGTTCAGTTCTAGTTCAGTTCTAGTTCAGTTCTAGTTCAGTTCTAGTTCAGTTCTAGTTCAGTTCTAGTTCAGTTCTAGTTCAGTTCTAGTTCAGTTCTACTTCAGTTCTAGTTCAGTTCTAGTTCAGTTCTAGTTCAGTTCTAGTTCAGTTCTAGTTCAGTTCTAGTTCAGTTCTAGTTCAGTTCTAGTTCAGTTCTAGTTCAGTTCTAGTTCAGTTCTAGTTCAGTTCTAGTTCAGTTCTAGTTCAGTTCTAGTTCAGTTCTAGTTCAGTTCTAGTTCAGTTCTAGTTCAGTTCTAGTTCAGTTCTAGTTCAGTTCTAGTTCAGTTCTAGTTCAGTTCTAGTTCAGTTCTAGTTCAGTTCTAGTTCAGTTCTAGTTCAGTTCTAGTTCAGTTCTAGTTCAATTCTAGTTCAGTTCTAGTTCAGTTCTAGTTCAGTTCTAGTTCAGTTCTAGTTCAGTTCTAGTTCAGTTCTAGTTCAGTTCTAGTTCAGTTCTAGTTCAGTTCTAGTTCAGTTCTAGTTCAGTTCTAGTTCAGTTCTAGTTCAGTTCTAGTTCAGTTCTAGTTCAGTTCTAGTTCAGTTCTAGTTCAGTTCTAGTTCAGTTCTAGTTCAGTTCTAGTTCAGTTCTAGTTCAGTTCTAGTTCAGTTCTAGTTCAGTTCTAGTTCAGTTCTAGTTCACTAGTTTAGTTTTAGTTCAGTTCAAGTTCACTTTTAGTTCAGTCCAAGGCAAATTTTATCAGATTTTTTACTAGAGAAAACTTACAAAGTTTGTTCACCATAAAATGTTTCAGTTCTAGTTCAGTTCTAGTTCAGTTCTAGTTCAGTTCTAGTTCAGTTCTAGTTCAGTTCTAGTTCAGTTCCAGTTCCAGTTCAGTTCTAGTTCAGTTCTAGTTCAGTTCTAGTTCAGGTCTAGTTCAGTTCTAGTTCAGTTCTAGTTCAGTTCTAGTTCAGTTCTAGTTCAGTTCTAGTTCAGTTCTAGTTCAGTTCTAGTTCAGTTTTAGTTCAGTTCTAGTTCAGTTCTAGTTCAGTTCTAGTTCAGTTCTAGTTCAGTTCTAGTTCAGTTCTAGTTCAGTTCTAGTTCAGTTCTAGTTCAGTTCTAGTTCAGTTCTAGTTCAGTTCTAGTTCAGTTCTAGTTCAGTTCTAGTTCAGTTCTAGTTCAGTTCTAGTTCAGTTCTAGTTCAGTTTTAGTTCAGTTCTAGTTCAGTTCTAGTTCAGTTCTAGTTCAGTTCTAGTTCAGTTCTAGTTCAGTTCTAGTTCAGTTCTAGTTCAGTTCTAGTTCAGTTCTAGTTCAGTTCTAGTTCAGTTCTAGTTCAGTTCTAGTTCAGTTCTAGTTCAGTTCTAGTTCAGTTCTAGTTCAGTTCTAGTTCAGTTCTAGTTCAGTTCTAGTTCAGTTCTAGTTCAGTTCTAGTTCAGTTCTAGTTCAGTTCTAGTTCAGTTCTAGTTCAGTTCTAGTTCAGTTCTAGTTCAGTTCTAGTTCAGTTCTAGTTCAGTTCTAGTTCAGTTCTAGTTCAGTTCTAGTTCAGTTCTAGTTCAGTTCTAGTTCAGTTCTAGTTCAGTTCTAGTTCAGTTCTAGTTCAGTTCTAGTTCAGTTCTAGTTCAGTTCTAGTTCAGTTCTAGTTCAGTTCTAGTTCAGTTCTAGTTCAGTTCTAGTTCAGTTCTAGTTCAGTTCTAGTTCAGTTCTAGTTCAGTTCTAGTTCAGTTCTAGTTCAGTTCTAGTTCAGTTCTAGTTCAGTTTAGTTCAGTTCTAGTTCAGTTCTAGTTCAGTTCTAGTTCAGTTCTAGTTCAGTTCTAGTTCAGTTCTAGTTCAGTTCTAGTTCAGTTCTAGTTCACTAGTTTAGTTTTAGTTCAGTTCAAGTTCACTTTTAGTTCAGTCCAAGGCAAATTTTATCAGATTTTTTACTAGAGAAAACTTACAAAGTTTGTTCACCATAAAATGTTTCAATATTTGAAAATTAAAGAAAGTTGTTTTGATTTAAACATTTCAATAAGTTTCTTAAGTGTTGAAAATTTGTCGATATTAATTGAAATATTTCTATAAAAATGTTCCTATTACAGTAAAAAATAGAGAGTGTTAATAAAAAATACCATTTATAATTAAAAAAAATTTAATAATTTCATTAGAAATATTCGCGTGAGACAATTAAAGGCAAACAAAACAAAAGACTTAAGTAGCAAACTTGGTTTGTGTATAAATATGATTTATTAATCCTATCATAGATAACAGACAATAATAAACAATTATTGAAAAAGTGAGTAAGAAAAATAAAATAACTTTCCTTATGTTGGAGTTATGTTTTGTATGGATAGCACAGCAGAACGTTGAACAATTTTTGAAAAAAAAACGTCCCCTTAAGTGTGTGCTTTAACTATTAAAAGCTTTTATAGTTGGGTAGACCAAAAAAACGAAGAGAGTTTTGTTTTTATTTTATACAAAGTAATATGGTGGTTTTACCTTTTAAATGTTTATTATTTGCTCTTAAGTTAAAGTCTGGTTTATGCTCTTTATGGTTTTATAAGGAAAAACCACTCTTAAGCTGGAGGTTGGGTTGTGAGCTTAAACGCCGGTATAAAACTTCTTACGTATGCTAGTCATGGTTTAATTTTACCTTGAACTTGCTAGAGTCTGCATCGAAATTAAAGCAACTGGAGGCAGCTGCAGCAGTTAATAAAGAAAACGTCTTGTTATCAAAGATCAAATTCGAAAATAAAAATGTAACAAAGTGAAGAGAAGAAGAATTTTAAAACAAAATATTCAAAAATAAAAATCAGTGAAATTTTTTTTTATTAGTCAAAATAAAAGGTGTTGTTGTGTGAATAAAAAGTTAATAAAAAAAATTTTTGAAAAAAAGATTTAAAAATGTTGTAAAAGAAAACCTTAAATAAACCGTTAATAATATGTTTTCTATGGCTGGAAATGTTACGTTTAACAAAAAAAAGCTTAATGTTTAATGACAATTAATGTAACGGTTACGAAACGCTCTTTTGGAGACAATAAAAAGAATCTAGAAATCATAACTTTGTGAATCATTCTAAAAAGGTGTTTTTATAGAGAAGAATCTTAAAGTTGAAGATAAGACAAACTAAACTTGCTGTGTGACAACAATGGATGGCTTGCGTAATTTATTGTTATTATTGGTCTTGTTGCCATTTGTTTACAGTTGGAGTCCCATACCCAGCTCACGCAGTCGAAGTTTTTATCCAACTTCACAACAACGACAACAACAATTACAACAAAAACAACAGCAGCCAGCAGCTTCAAGCCAAAGAAGTGGTAAGTTAAGTTTTATTTATATTTTTTTGTTGTTTTTGGGATGTTTTTTTTTAACAAATGAAGTTTTATAATGAAGTTTTGTAATGAAATTGAAATTATTCATTGAACAACTTTTATTTTGTCCATGTATGTTATCACGTTGTTGTTGTTGGTTACATCTTGTTTTGTTGTCTTATTTGCAGTCCATCTAAGTTGTTAAACTTGGTTAAGTTGCATTAGTTAGTATTACCATGAATTTTGATTTGCTTGTTTATCTAAAATTTTTGTTAAAATTTGTTTGGATATAAAATATTTTTGTTGTTTTTTTTCTCCATGTGTTACATTTCTCCTGTTTCGTATGCTGTTGTTTTTTTTATTAATAAACTTTTACTTTTATTCATAAATATTGCAAACACGTTTATTGGCGAATTTTGTTTTGTTTAATTAAAATTTATAAATTTTAAATATAGGGTTTCCTTGTAAGGAAACAACTTCCATTTGTTAAGTAATTGAAGTGAAAGATATTAATATGCGAAATGAATAAATTAAAAACTTTTATTTACCTTTGAAAGTTAGATAACTTTTTCTTTCATTCATTAAACATTTTGTTGAAAATTATGTTAATTTTAACAAAACGATTTGTTAATGAACTTTAGAATGAATAACAATTAGTATTAGACCAGTTCACGGAAAAAAAGTGCTTAGTTACTAAAAGAATACAAATATTTAGATGAAAATCCTAATGATAGATCATTTTCAAAGTTATGGGCGAATGATTTACTTCATGTGAAGATATCTCAAAAGTAAAGAAGATATCGCAGGTGTTAAGCCATTATTTTAAGCTTTCAGATGACATACAATATTTATACCCTATACCACTTTAGTGAGAGGGTATATTGGGTTTGTGCTGATGTTTGTAACGCAAAATAGTATTAGTGGATTTATTTCAAATGTTAGGACACGATATCTTGAATCCCAGATGTGATTGAGATTCGGATTCAGAAGACTATACTTTGGTCTCTGAGTTAAAAAATTTCTTCGCCAGTGTTATTAAGCGTCTAGCGAAGACCTTAAAGTTGTCTTGGCGCTGTTATTACGCCTCAAAGAAAGGAAAAAAATTTTAATTTTTTCAAATTTCAGTACACGATATCTTGACTCCCAGATGTAATGGAGATTCGGATTCAGAATAGTATATTTTGGATTAAAAATTTGCCCACCAGTGTTATGAAGAGTCTAATGAAGAGCTTTTATCACATTTTTATTAAGGGGCGTGTTATAAAGCGAATAATGCAAACTGGCCGTCATTTAAGTTCTAACTGTACAATACAAGGCTAAATGATTACTCAATCCAACACATTTTTAACACACAAACTAAAGTAAACCCTTTTAAAAGGACATCCCAATAGGTTTTCAAATAGCGACTCTCTTTGTATTATTATAACGTCTTTAATTAGGTCAGATTAGGATTTTCTAATTTCAGGGCACGATAACTCTGATAGAGTGATAGAGAAATCCAATCTGGACTTAGCTTTAGAATTTTTCAATTATCATAATGAATAGTTGCAATTAAAATGGGCGTTTCAATGCCCATTATCTATTATCTTTCGAAAATATAAGCAGGAACTTAATAGTCGGCATGTCTCCCTCATTTATTAAAGAATATCTTTTCTCAAAACATGTTCCAAAATATGAAGAACGATACAGTTTATTCATACAAATTTTCATTCCATCAGTATCATATATCTATGATTCTAGGTCTATAATTCAGAAAATTAAAAAAAAGTACTATTTGAATGACGAAAAAGTACCAGAAGCTCCCCTTTTATGAAATTTAATTAATTCAATATTATAAAAGATGAAAAAAGTACCGGTTGAAAACCAAAAAAGTACCAACAAAAAATCACTCTTATAGATTTCATTCCATCAAAATATACATACATATACGGTCTCTGATTTTGGCATTAACAAAACAAAAACAACATATATATAAAGTAAATACTTAAATACTTATATCTGGAAGAAAAAGTCTGCATAAACATTTGGGGGAAAATCGAGGATTATAAAAGTGGGCTGGCAACTTTCCTATGTATTAAATATGTACTATTAAGTGGACCACAATCCGCATAACGACATTTTGGCAAAATTGCATGTTAACTAAGTTAAAAATTTCGAATTTTAAAATTGTAATCGATTCGATTGGTTCTGTGTTACTCCACAAATTTAATTTTATTAATTTTTGAAAAAAGTAATTTTTGACTTTATCGTAAATTTTTTGGATGCTTACTCAAGGACTAAAAAAATTTGAAAATTTGTTCTAAAATTGTTATTTTTGGCCTAATTTCGATTTTTAAATTTATCGTAAATTTTTTTCATATTTCGTTTAGAAATAAAGCAAATTAAATTTTTTATTAAATTCCTAGAATTATAAACTAATTTCGAATTTTATTAAATTTTTGAAAAATTAATTTTTTACATTATCGTAAAATTGTTTTGGAACTTACTCGGGCAATAAAAAAATTTTAAAATTTGTTTTAAAATAGTTATATTTTGGCCTAATTTCGAATTTATTAAATTTGCGAAAAAAGTAATTTTTGGCTTTATCGTAAATTTTTTTGATATTTACTCGAGGAATTAAAAATGTTGAAACTTGTTTTGAAATTGTAATATTTTGACCTAATTTTGATTTTTATTAGATTTGCAAATTTCAAATTTTTAAATTTATCGTAAATTTTTTTCATATTTAGCTATGACATAAAGCAAATCGAATATTTTTATTAAATTCTTAGAGATATAACTAATTTTGAATTTAATTCAATTTTCCAAAAATACAACTTTTTACTTTATCGTAAATTTTTTGACTACTTACTTGAGGAATAAAAAATTTTAAAATTTTGTTTTAAAGTCATTATAATTTGACCTAAATTTGATTAAATTTCCAAATTTCGAACTTTCAAATTTATCGTAAATTTTTTTCACACTTAGCTTAGAAATAAATCAAATTTAAGATTTTTGTTAGATTCCTAAAAATATAAAGTAATTTTGAATTTTATTAAATTTACGAAAAATTAAAAATTTTACTTTATCGTAAATTTTTTTGGTACTTACTTGAGGAATTAAAAATTTTTAAAATTTGTTTTAAAATAATTATAATTCAACTTAATTTTGATTTTTATTAGATTTGCAAATTTCAAATTTTTAAATTTATCGTATTTTTTTTTCATACTTAGTTACGAAAAAAGCAAATCGAATATTTTTTAGAAATATAAGCTAATTTCGAATTTTATTAAATTTACGAAATATAAAATTTTTACTTTATCGTAAATTCTTTTGACACTTGATAAAATTTTTGATAAAATTTCTAAAATTTGTTTTAAAATCGTTATATTTTGAACTAATTTTGATTTTCATTAAATTTGAAAATTACGAATTTTGAAATTTATCGTAAATTTTTTTCACAATTAATTCTAACATAAAGCCAATCGAATATTTTTATTAAATTCTAAATAATATAAACTATTTTTCAATTTTATTAAATTTACGAAAAATTAAAATTTTTACTTTATAGTAAATTTTTTTGATACTTATTCGAAGAATTAAAAATTTCTAAAATTTGTTTTAAAATCTTTATATTTTGAACTAATTTTGATTTTTATTAAATTTGAAAATTAGGAATTTTGAAATTTATCGTAAATTTTTTTCACACTTGATTCTAAAATAAAGCCAATCGAATATTTTTAATAAATTCTAAAATATATAAACTATTTTGAATTTTATTAAATTTACGAAAAATTAAAATTTTTACTTTATCGTAAATTTTTTTGATACTTACTCGAGGAGTTAAAAATTGTTCAAATTTGTTTTAAAGTCACTATAATTCAACCTAATTTTGATTTTATTAGATTTGCAAATTTAAAATTTTTAAATTTATCGTAAATTTTTTTCACACTTAGTTCTGAAATAAAGCAAATCAAATATTTTTATTATATTCCTAGAATTATAAGCTAATTTTGAATTTTATAAAATTTCCAAAAAACGAAATTTTTGACTTTATCGTAAATTTGTTTGATACTTACTCGAGCAATCAAAAAATTTTAAAATTAGTTTTAAAGTCGTTATATTTTGGCCTAATTTTGATTTTTATTAGATTTTGAAATTTTGAAATTTGAAATTTATCGTAATTTTTTTTCAAATTTCATCATTTGGAAAATGTTCATTACAATTGTAGAAATATAAACTAATTTTGAATTTTATTTAATTGTCAAAAAATCCTCTTTCATCAGCCTAAAATTCACTTTCCCTAGGAATTATTCTTTAAAAGTTAGATCAAGCAATATAATTCTATAAAACCGGTATTGTGGGAATTACTAACGTTTAAAATAAGTCTAAAACACCTACATACATACAAAAAAAACTTTCTTTTCATTAGAATCACCTGTCTCTTTAAATATGAGACCTACTAGTTTCAAATATCTATCATAATACTTATTGTTAAAAAGTTCTGTACTAAAACTCTAAAAACATTTAGAATCTATGTCTATGTATGTCACTTGTTATACAATTTCTAAATCTAGTTTACATAGAGGGCCGTGTGCCATTGTGTTTAGAACAAATTAATTAAATTTAACTAGTGTGACATGATTTACAATATCGTAAATAATGTCAACATGTTTGTCATATCCATCGCACTTTTGAACGAAATCAAAATGCAGAACAAATTGCCTACTTTAGTGAACAGGAAAATAAACAAACTGAAACAGTAAAATACCATGTAAATTACAAGTTTTATAAATAAATTATAGTAATTGTTTATAAAGTTGTTTATTATGATATTTTTACTCTAAAGAGACCTAAAGTGTATAAAAAGAATTATGAGCAGAAATTTTCTTATAAAAAGTATTCTGGGGTGAGTCGTCTACCGGTTAGAGGTTGTTATATGGGTCATTTTTAACTTAAATAGACATTCACACTAGTATGAAAAAGTTATAATAAAAAGAATTATTCTGAAGGTAATTAACTAGTGC